AGCACTTGCAAGGGAAACTTTCATGCCACGGTTTATGTAACCAAAAGCTACCTTTCGATAATGGGACACGCTTGCTCACGGGAGATGAAACCCAGCAGGGGAGCTGGCTGGCATTGCACAACCTGTCACAAGGAGACCTCCACAGTGCTATACCTGCAGCTGGGGCAGCACTGGGTGATGGCATGTCTCCCTTCAGAGGACAGAGAGACCAGAGATAACCCCAGGCACCGCTCAAACAGCTTGCACCTTACCCCATCACATGGATTCCTTTGCAATCAGCATAACATTGTTCTGTGGGCTGGGAACATCATGTAAAACCTTTGATCCATCCTTGCTTCACCTAAGGGCAGCAGACAAATCAGATGGCTTCTCCTGATAAAAGAAAGGAATATGTTGGGGGTTTTTTTCAAGACAATCAGAAGTTCATTACTAGAGTTGTTCAAATTAAAGTTCCAGTTTCATTACTTCCGTTCCCCTTCCTCAGCCCAAATAGTCGTTGGATCATACATCATTATAAATGCTAGTTTAATTGCTAAATTATTCTTTGCTAAAATTGGCCTTGAAATCTGATTTTGAAATTCAAATCAACTTGTTTTCAACTTTTATTTTAAAAGTTACAATGATGTGACTATTCCAACTTGTTTCTTTACTAGTTTGGGTTTTTTTTCTAACTGCATATTTTTCTTTTTTGAAGAAGAATCCGTTGCAAAAACAGAAATATTTTTCTTCATTTTCCTTCTTCTTCTGATGACAGACTGTTCAAAGTTTCTAGGTTTGGCTCTTTGAATAGAAATGTGACTAATAAATAGTAAGCCAGTGTTCATCATTTAGGTTTGAGTTCTTTTGACAAACACTGTCAGGGCTTGGACAGCTGCTGGAGCTAGTCATTAATATCATGGAGGATGTGTCAGTGTTCTGCTAAAGAATCTGCAAACCATGCAGACTCATTGTTACAGGTGGTGTTAACAATGACATGAGAATCCCACAGGAGCCCCTCAAAAATTGAAAGCATAACAGGAAGTGGAATAGGAATCGTGTTGATCAACTCTAGGTCTTTTCTGGGAGGTAGGATCCAAAGAAGAAGTGTAGGGAGGGAAATGAAGAACAAGTGAATCTATGGATTCAACAAATATGAGCTTGGACATTGGAAAATAGCTTCTAACTGCACTCTACCTTGTCTAGAGTTGTCTTTTATAACAAGTCTTAGTCTTCTATATAGGGACTTGAAGTTTAAGCTGGTTACTTGTGAAACCCTCAGAAGCTGTCAGCGCATCAATAATAGTCTCAACCAGCAAAGTGCAGTACTGAATGACATGATTCCACTAAATTATCCACTCCTAATCACTGCACCACCAAAATAGTACAGACAATTTGATATGAATTGTAATTGTAAAACCAAGAAGGGTTGAATAATTAGACTAAAGGGCAGAAGGTCCTTTAAGCCAGGACAGAGAAAGCTTGTGTGAGGACTGATTTATATCTGAAAAGTATCTAATCATAAGGACACCACAGAAAAGGAAGTGATTTCTATGTGATAAGGACACTTGGAATTAGTGAGAGTGAGACAAAAAGCACTGAGCTGAAAGCATTGCACAGGAGCAGACTTCCTGGCCAGAAGACTGGGTTTCAAAATGAATGAACCCAGAGTGGAAACCAGAATTCCTTTTCCAGATGAAAGTGAGCCAAAATACTCAAATGCTGCACAAAGTAGACATTCCTGAGAAATGATACTGAGCAATTCTATCTAAAATAATATATTCTTGATTCAGATTTGTCATTAACCTCAGACTGTATATATAATTGCATAGTGTTTGTTTGTGTGATGCCAATCCACAGCAATTTCAGTTGTGTGTTTTGGCCCATATTATTGCTTCAATGGTTGGTTTTGGTAAAGCCAGATGATTTTAAACCTTTAAGATTAGTTAGTATCTTACCATGAATCAATTACGATAGCTATCACATAACTTCCATAAGCTGTTCAACGTAAATATTTCTATTTTCTTAGTTCCTGGAATTATTTTTCCCCTGCATTTTACAACACAGCAATTAGTAGCAATTAGTGCAATTTCTTTTTGTAAATAGATCTTGAAAGTTTACATTATATTTTGGAAGCTACTTACAATGAAAGACTTCAAAGAGAATAACTGTAATACACATGACTAAATGACACATGACAGCAAAATCTGAAAGATTTCTACAGAAGTGTACCTTTTATATATCTGCTCTTTTGATTTTAACTATGTCTACTTTGCAGTGAATTCCCATATGCAACATAAGAGAAAATACATTTTTTTCATTGGTATGTCTGTGTATTATTTTCTTGGTTATGCCTATAGATCTCTGCATACCACCCTATGCCCTCAGGCATAACTCCAAGTTTCTTAGCGGTTATTCACAAGCAGTAATCTTTTTGCTGAGAGACTCCTTGCAGACTATGACACTGTCCAAGTACTTCTTGACATTTCATTGTTGGTTTTGGACATCTGCTAATCATTGTTCACATCTTCAAAATCTGTGTCGTCCCTACTGTCCACCAGAAAATGGGTTATACTGACAGAAAACTAGGGTTTGACAAAATTTCCCACATGCTTTTCTCCTACACATGCAAAGACAGCTTTTTTTTTACTAAGCCGCAGTTTGGTTCCTAAAGGTTCAAAACAATTTCTGTGGCACTTTTTCTAATAGAGGTACCAGCTTTACTCTATGCAGTCTCAATAAATTAGGTGGTGAAAACAGGTCTGCTGATAACACCTCCCCCGTGAATTCCACATGTAGGAAAATAACGAAATATTTAATCTAAATATCAGTCACAAACCAAAGCTGGTAAAGTCTTCAGGACTGGCAGCAGCCATGAGTGCCAGCACTCCCCCTCGCTCTGTTTGTACTTTGCCAGCTGCAGCATTTACAGCCGCATTCTTGGTCGGAACAGCGACCTCCCCCATCAGCACTAGTTGTTAGCTTAATGAAAACATGGCATGCAGCAATTTATTTGATGAACCTTTTAGTATGTCAACATATTAACATGTCAGGGTAAAATGTGCAGCATCATTTTTGCCAGCCCAGTTCCCTCACTCTTTCCTGAGCACAAGCAGGTAATCAGTAATTCAGGGGGTTGTAGTATTTTCCCAAGAGCATGCTGCGAAGGTTACCAACCTTCCCAACTTGCTGTTTAAGTTTGTTTTATGCTGTCACTACCTCTGATCCTTGCTTTTGTTCCTGGACTGTTTTTCCCCGAGAATGGTCTGATCTTTCCTTTTCCCCCCCCTAAGCTCTAATGGAAGTAGATTATGTGCAAACCTCATTTTATGGTGTGGTTTTGGTATGGTTTTGACATACCACAGTATCTGGCATCGCGGACTTTTGTTTTGCCTTTGTGTTGAGTGAGAAACCCAGAGAACCATTCTAGCACTGCAGACCAGAGCCACACAACTTTGCTTCAGCTCAAGGAAGATTTTCATCCCTCTGAAACACAAATACAAAACCAAAAAAAGGCACATAACATTGCTTAGTGAGAACATTTATATGCACAAAGGACACACAAACTGCCTATGTCAGCAGGATTAACATGCTGACAATAGCTGCTTGATCTTTGCTCTTTCATAGTCACAAAGACCATGTGCTACCCTGCTGTTTACTATCCGGTGCCTAGGGCATACCTAAATTCAGCCAAGATGCAGGAACAGAAAGGGAGAAGTAGTATCCCTCTATGCTGCCTCCCTGTGGGGGTGATAAAAATCTATCCCCGGACTTTGTTTGTCCAGACTTTGTTAAAATAGTCAGCAGTGTGTACTGTGAGCTTTCCTCCACTAAAACAAAGAGTAATTCCCTCCAACACAATTCAGATTGCATTTCCATGTAACTCCTACCCTTGACTGGGCATGATTTGGAGATAAATAGATGGAAAGCTACTTCTGGATTCATTTGCCAACATGGATAACTGCTAGAACATCTTATTCAATACAGAAATAGGGATTAACAGTGTAAGTGGGTTTAAAACTTACTCTAAGGGTATCTGAGCTACTAGCATGGTCTAGAGAGAGAAACAGTGCATCTTATAATTCAGTTTCCTTCTCCGTGCACAAAAAATGTACTCAACACTAAACAAATGTGTATCAGAGACTAGACCACAGCACCATTCTCCAGCTACAGCACCTTCAGCAAATGGTTCACTAAGCAGATCTTTGCTCTGAGAAGAGGTTGCTGTGACAAGAGGCTCAGTGGTTGCTGGTTTGCCTCCTCAAGCATTTCTTGCTCACTGCAGTTCTGCTCGCTGCTTCCTACATCTACTTCTGGACAAGTGCACTCCAGCAAGCAGCAAACCTGTTAATCATTCTCAAAATGAGTAGGTGCTGCTTCCACTGCTGCTGTTTTTTCCCCCTCTCTCACTGCTGGTCACAAAGCTCATCAGGGCACCTGACTGTCAGACTGACAAAAATAATGGAACACAGGAAATGTTCCTGTGTTTCATCAAGAAACACAGAGGAGAAAACAAAAAAGGGAAGACAGTCATGAACTCACCAAGTAGCCATGTGTTGTATGTTCCAGAGCAACACTATACTGTCATGGCCTTCTGTGTTTTCAGTCACCTACCCTCTGAAATCCTAACAATACAGTACTCTGGAAAGTTATCCAGGAACAACGGCTTCCTATGTGGTAAGAGTCAAACTGAACACTTCAGGTAGGATCTTCCAAGAGGCAGAGGAAGAACATGGCATCACAAGCATGAGGCTGATCCAGCTCTAGAGAGCAGCATGAATGACAGTGTTAAGACTAGGGATGCTACAGATCACGGTGACAGCAATAGCACAGCACTGGGGGATGCCCAGAGGCTAAACTGGTTATTGAGGCTGCAAAAGAAGTTTGCTTCCTGCCGAGATTCCCATTGGCTGGGGTAGGATTTTTCAGCCCCGGCAGAGCAGGCTCTGCTGGTATATCTAGCAGCAACACTCCTGAGCAGGCAGAGAGAAGGACGTGCACTGGTGGTCTGTCAGGATTGCAGAATGGATCTGAAGATGTTCCTGGTCTTCACTGCATTTTTGCTTCACACTTCCCTGGGCTTTCCTATTCAGGTGAGAGCAGCTCCATGCAATTGTGCTCTGTCTTCTAGCTGGAAGCAAAGCTGTGAAGACTTGTTTTGATAAATTTCCTGCAAGAAAATATTAGTAATATAATAATATATAAAGGCAATCTAATAATTTGGTTCCTCCCTTTGGCCTGATTTTGATGCTATTGTTGTTGCATTAGTGAGTTATAGAAGAATAATGTCTTTTATCTATTGGTTTTGCAGGAGAAGTATGAAAACAGCACAACAAGTAAGTAGGATTTAGACTGCTATTTTTGTTTGTGTATCACACACTTTGTTTTGAGAGCATGTGAAAGCACTGACACAGGCCTTTTGAATTAGGCCATGTTTCATAATTTGTTATTGAGCTAGGTGCAGATGTGTTTTCCCAAAGATGTGCTTTACACAGTCTTTTGGGTTATGGTTTGTTAGGTTAATTTGTATGCGCTTTCACAGGCTTGAAAATAAAATTTCAATAGGCCTTTTTGTTACCTTTTCATTAAATTGAGTGTTATAATAAGACTGCTATTCATTTGCCTTCTTGCCTACCTTGGTGCAGCAGTAAGAGAAAAGGATGTCAGGCATCAAAGAAAGCTTTGCTTTGCTCTGGGATGGAAAACAAATAATACAGGCTTAGCTTCTGGCAACTTGCAAAATACAAGGAGATAATTGCAGATCTCCAGAGGTCAATGGGAAGGAACCTGTAGGTAGACTTTAACTACATCAAGAAACTGAGAGTAATGTGTGTGAGAGGAAGACACCTTGGAAAAATTTGCCTGACATAGTCAAAGCAAGTAAGTGACTAAAGAAAACTGACAAATTCTTCTTTCGAACTGTTATGTATGGCATGGAAACAAAGGGATGTTGTAAAATTACTGCTTATTGTATTTAGAAGAGACCAAGGGACACGTTTACTTGAGTTCAAAGTAGTCTGTTGCTGGGACTCAAAGTTACAGGGTTACTGGGACAAATGCATGCAATGAGTTTGAATTTACCATTGTTACTGGGTTTTGTGCCTTTTGAAACGTCTTCCAGTATTTACAGTACAGGGAAAACATGAGCTGTGTAATTTTGAAAGCGGTATCACACCAGATGTTCATTTCATCAAGAAGTTGGCAGATGCCTTCTCTGGTGTTTCATTTGGGTTTTAAAAAGAAGTTGCAGGCTGTATGTGCCTAAGAATCTGGAGCCTAATTTCCACTAACTTTGACTACTCAATTAATCTAATGCCTCTTGGGTGCATAAATTCTGAATCTGGTCAACCCAGCCCAGAAATGTTCTTCCCTGCAGAATATTTATAGATTTCATGGATCTCTCTGAGGCAGCTGGTGGGAATTGACTGAACTTTTCTATAATAAACCACAATCATTACAGTGGGCTTCCTTTACCATGTAACTGAAGTAACAATTTGGAAAAAGAGATTGAAGTCTTTTTGAACACAGATAGGCTTGGAAATAAGAACTATTTACTTGATTGTTCTCTCCATCAGTGTTGAATAGGAGAAAAAAAGCAATTGCTTTACATTTTGACAAGGAAGAGTGCAATATTGACAAACTGGAAGAGATTCGCAGACAGGCTTGCAGCATATCCATCATACTTAAGAACAGGTCAAACAAACTGTGGTCAGTAATAATATAGATAAAACTGTTTCTGCCTTAGGGAAAGCAGACAAATCGATGACCTCTGGAGGTCCTTGCAATTTCTAAACTTTTATGATATTATAACAGTGAAGTTAGAAATTTGCACATCAGGTCAGATTTTCACTTCTAGTTTGTATCTAGAAACTGATATTTGGTAAAAATCAAAAAAGACACCTTAGGACTTAGAATGGTACATGCTGCTGTCAGGTACATACAGAAGATGAGATTGTTTTCCCATGTTAAATTATAGCCTTCATCTCACGTTATAACATTACTCTTGGACACTGTGAAACCAGAGGGTATTGTTGAGCTAGTTAGCCTGCATTTGCAAAAAAAACTGGGGATATAGAGGGTTTTTTGTCCCTGGTTTCTTTTGTAATTTTCCACACTGAAGCTGAAAAAATATTTTGTTGATTTTTAGATGGCAAGTGACTAGAATTCTGTCCCTCAGCATGATCTACTAGGAATTTTCATAGCTTTTTTTCTGAATATCAATTTAATTTCTGTGCCCACGCATCAGTTAGTGCACTCCATTTCCCTCCAAGCAAAGGCCTTCCCATGGCTGAGGAATTCCATAATATTGAACACTGTGAAGTTGTATTCAGATTCTAATTTATCCCTCTTGTTTGTCTTTTTTTCCTTGCTTTTTGCAGCAACAGAACCTACTGAGGTAAGGGCAGCTAAATCAGCTCTTCTGATCACTTTGGGGTTCTACATTGTGAAAATAAGGTTAAGATTCTTGTTTTCCACCTGTATCTCCACCAGTGGAGTAATGTCTTCTCAGATCAACAGTGTGTCAGAATGTATCTGAAACTTATTCCACACTTCAGATTACATTTCCCTTTATGATATCTATATTTGCCAAGATATCAAAGAAGACTATTTACCATGCTGTGGTACTTCTTTACACATGGTACAGTATATAAAAGCTCAAGACTGCACTGATGGAAGATACATTTAATGGGCCTGGACACTGTTGATACTTTATATGTTATATTATTTAATTTAATGTTATATTATAAAGTGTGAGATAATACTAATATATCATTCTTTCAGGTTACTACACAAGAGGATATATATGGTATGTATTACTCCATCTACAAGTACGTATATGAGAGGATATACTGATTGCTAGCCACCCAGTTACTCCAGAAAATAGTACATGCTTAACACAAATTAACCTTAGGGAAGGAATTTTAAATGAATGCACTCACCACAATATTTAATGCAAAGCAAAGTCTCTTGGCTTTGACCAATTGTTTGGCCTTGCCAAAAACATCACCTCTTACTTTTGCTAAAAATAATTCTGTTTAAATAATGTCCTGATTTAATTCCCTTCCAAAGGTTGTAGAAAGCATAGAGGTCAGGTGTTTCTGCTTTTTACTGATGTCAAGGCTTGTTGCATAATGCTCAGAGTTGGCTGATTTTGCTTGCAAGGCCTGGGAGTCCTTGATGTTGGGCTTAGCTGGGGACATCAGTATGACTCATGGAATAGGGATGCAGTTCCAATTCCATTGATTTCAAGAGTTTATCAAAAGGTTAGCATGTCCAGCAGGAAGCATCAGGACTGCTCTCCATCTGTTTTTGCTTCTGGTGTCTTATGTTGTAGGGTTGAGTGTAAGTTATATATGCAGAAGTCAAACTGCAGTCTGAGGCTTAAAAATGTGACGGTTATGGGGAAAAAAAGGGAGAGAGGCAAATAAAAAGAAGGGCTCTTGGGATTTGATTAATGCCAAAATAACTACAGCTGGGATGGTATCAGGATTGTGTCACTGAACAAATATCTACATGAGTGAACACCCTACCAGTCCCTAAATAGGCTATGTAAGTATGTCATGCATCACGGGAAAATCATCAGGTTAAAAATCAAGATTCATATTTTCCCCGGGAATGAGAAAGTGATACTCTTGTATTTCTGAACAGAATCTCCATTGCCTACAGAGACTGATGTTGAGGAAGAAGTTATTTTTAACAAAATTCTGAAAGTTAACCAAGGTAATGCCCCCAAACCCTGTTGATAATGGGTCTGTCTTTGTTGCTTTTGGGGGGTGATATGGGAGGTACAATATCTTACGACAGTCTGTGAGAATATTTTCCCTTCTTACACACCATCACGTAAGAGATGCCCAGAGACAGGACACTGAGACTACTGCTGAAGCCCTATAGTAACTCAAACCTATAGAGTCAATACTGAAGATGCTACCAGGTGTAGAGGCAATTGAACTATCCAGACAGTTTCTTCAATTGTAGCTTTCAACATCTTTGTCATTCTTTGGACTTCAAGAGTGAACACAGATATTTAGATGCCTTGTTATTTAACTGCCTTTTACTTGAATTCAAGCATCACTTGCACTCAGTCATCATATGGCTTTGTAGTACAGACTCCTGGATGACCTACAGTCAGTTCCATGTTCCCTGCTCCAGACTTGCTGTTCCTTGACCCTTCCAAACTTTTCCTGATCTATCAGCTTGTCTTTCTCACATTTTCCCTTCAACAGTCATTCGAGTAGCTTTATTACTATCTGTAAAAATAGACACCAAACATGCCTACACTTTTCTCCTGACTCATTTCTCTTTTTGGTTTGCTCGCCTTCTTGGGTTTCCTTGTAGACACCTCCTGCTTTTGTCCAGTACCCTTCCTGGAGAGGTATTTGATGTCATTCATTCAGTGTCACGTGATGGATGATTAAACAGTACTAAAGTACAGCATCCCTCTCACTATTACAACTGCTTTCAGTCATTCCATATCCTGCCTGAACACCATCCAGCAGAACTGGATCTTCCCAGTTCTGTGTCCTCTTAGCTAAAGACACAACAGCAAAATTAGGGAGGCAGATAACATCCATCTAGCTGAATAACCTGTTTCTCATGCTAGCCAGGAACAGATGCTTAGGGAAAAATAGGAAAAGAGTATTAGTAGAGAGTGACAGCTTTCCAAGTGTGCTTAGCAAGCATCCAGCAACCTATGGCTCAGATGTTTCCATCCTTTCTCTCTCACCACAGACAGCTCTCAATACTTGCAAGAAGGTGACATAGTTCCACGAAGGAGTCGCAGTGCCATCAACTGTCGCCATTGCAACTGGCCCCAGTCCCGTGATGGGATTGTTCGTGTTCCCTATGTCTTGGATCCTACTTATGGTGGGTTTAAATTTCAAAAATAAAAAGTGGATTTTATCCAATAAAATTCAGGTAGAAAGCTACTTATAGTGATGACACAAACAGTTGAATAAATCAGTTCTAATAATTTACTTGTGCTGTGTAAGCACAGATGAATTTTAAGTTACAAAGACCTGAACCAGAAAAAGATCAAATGTCTTTGAAAAGTTTGCATCTATAATGTTTTGGATCTGTTCTCTTGGAGACAAGAACGGTCATTCCATCTAATGGTACTTTCCAGAATACCTGCCTTTATAAGGTTCATTCCTATTACAGTGCAGCTTCAATGGCTGGCTCTTCGTTAGTAGAACAGCTTGCCATAGTGGTGTCCAAGTGTCCAATAAGAAGATAAATCAACAATCATCACTATAATTAAGAACAAGTGGTTGAAAAAAAAAGGTACCAGAATACATCTGGACAAATATCTGGATAAACAGGATCTTGTGCCAGGCTGTTAACATCTTAAATGAAATTAAGTACTAAGCAATACAAAACACGGAAGGGCCTAGGCTAATGTTTCTGTCCCTCATTTACCCTGTTTTTGAGAACATGTGAGATTTTAATGGCACTTGCCATTGTCCTCCTGTGACGCCTAAAATTAACCCTTTCTTCTCCAGAGGAGAGCCACGTAAAAGGGATTCATGATGCCATGGCAGAATTTGAAGCACTGACTTGTATTAATTTTGTGAAGCGCAAGACAGAACGTGATTACCTCAGCATTAAATCTGTCGATGGGTGAGTTGAATGATAAATTAACGAGTTATTTCTACAATGTTTTTCAATTCTTCACTACAGTTATTCTGTGTGACCTTAGAGAGGCCTTTTTTTTATCACAGTGCCAATGTATCCTCCTTGGATACCTCACTAGTGCAAGGGCTCAACACGTATATCACAGACTCACTGCAGACACTGAAGTAATGCAAATTATGGAAAAGTACCATTAAAGTGGAAAGAATAAGCTCATGTTTTCTATGTGATATAATGCACACTTGAGAACAACATATATTGATTACTTTTTGCACAAGTAAACCCAATTTCAACCTATGAAATAAACAGTTTTCTGAATCACAGATTTGGCTCTCAAGCTCAGAATTGGAGCCTATGAGAAAATTGTTCAACATCTGTTAGCTTGAAGTGCTATTCACCTTAGCTCCAGCTCTGATATGGTGTTCAGTATTTTGGAAAAAAATGTAATTTCAAGGGAGTTAAAGTCACTGTAAAGTCAGAAGTCAGGAGCCTCTGTGCTAATGAAAATCTTCCAGGAAGATTTAGCAATGATCATACTGTGTTCTTTTCTACACCATGATTGGTTTTGCCTCTGTAGACTGACTATTACAGTGGAGAGGAAGGAGTCCTTCCACTCCCACAAGAGGTATGGGAAGCAAGGTTTTCTGTTCTTCCCCTTTGTCTGCCTGACAATAAAAATCCTATAATCTGATGCCTCTCTCAGCTGCTGGTCCAACTATGGGAGAGTAGGAGGTGGGCAGACTGTCTCTGTGATGAAAGGAGGATGCTTGTGGAAAGGAGTAATTCAACATGAACTGGAGCACGCTCTGGGCTTTTTGCATGAACACTCTCGAAGTGACAGAGATAAGCATGTAAAGATCATGTGGGAGTACATCAGTCCACGTAAGTACTTTGAACTCTTCAATGTAGAAAATGGTGTAGATACATCCTATTGCTCCCAGCCTTCCCTTCTTCCCTGATGGGAGAAGGTTGGAAGCATACTCTAAGTACAATATCATATATTACAGCTGACAGATCAGACTTCAAGAAATTTGAAAACTCCAATAACCTGGGTCTTCCGTATGACTATTCCTCAATAATGCACTATGGCCCGTAAGTAGCAGCATGGCATTCCTGTTGTTGGAGCTCAAATCTTACATGAGAATTAGTTTCTATCATAACTGTCTCCTAACTACCAGTTTCCCCAATTCCGCTTCTGAGAAAAGCAGTAGGAGTCAGTTCATACAAACCTCTCTGTAGGATTAATTCGATATCTTTTATATCCCTTAGCTTTCCGTTAGGGAGCCCTTAACTGCTGAGCCTGGGAGCAAAGGAGACTATCTGGAAAATAACCCTGCTTACTGCTGGACATCTCAATAAAATCTATTTAAACAGCACTACTGGCCACAGCAACAGCTTCTGTATAGTTCTTGTTCTCCCTCCAAAGCATGCCATTGAATCCTGAAAGAAGATATGGTACTTAGAGAACATAATTTCTCATGTGGGTTTTTTTCAGATACACATTCACTAATACCACTGGAAAAGCGACAATTGTACCAATTCCTGATGGATCAGTACATATTGGACAGAGGCAGGGGCTGAGCAACTTGGACGTGGCCAAAATCAACAAACTTTACAACTGCAGTAAGTTTCTCAAAGCCACCCTTTCATCTTCAACTCAGATCCGGGCATGTCGCAGAGGCAGCAGTTACTCATCAAAGACTGTGAGACTATTGTCATAAATTCATGGTACTCATTTGGGTTACTCTGGGAGAGAATGCAAAAGTGAAGCTGGAGGCAGGCTGTGATTAGTGAGAAAATGGTTTCTGCTTCTAAATTAAATAAAACGCATTCACTATTGGTGTAAGTGGCTGCTGTGCAACTGACTGCTGGACTAACTGCATACCACATTGAATACTTCAATGGGGTAATTTGGTTTCTTACAGTTCAGCAGACAACTATTGATCCCAAGAGAGCCAGAGATCACTGTTCCTCACGGCAGTTGGTATTTAAGACCTGAGCTAAACCAAAACAGTCGTAGGCTCCTCTGAACTGGAACCATTTCATGTCCGGTTTTCAAATGTTTAATCTGTCATTCTAAATTTGTATGTTTAAACTCTTTAAATTCAACCTCTGCTAAACTACAGAGCTAATAAATAAAAAAATAATGCTTTTTTCCAAGCACTACTTTACTTTTCTCTTTGATGCATTATGTGAAAATTAGGACAAGATGATTTTTCATTTTAATCAAGATATACTAGTACTCTGAAATGAATGGTGACAGATTAGACAACCAAGAGCCATCCATTCTGAAAGACTGTACTTGTAAATTAGTGGAAGCTTCTGCAACCCTGGTGCTGAAGCAAACATTTTTTTCTCAGGTCGTTGCAGCACTATTCTTGACGGAACTTCTGGGTCACTGAAATCTGCCAACTACCCAAGAAATTATTCAGATAACACCAACTGTGTCTGGCTCATCCGAACCCGATCCAGAAAGGTAATCACAGGTTTATAGTGGTCTTGAAATATGGCTGAATTTCTTTCTATGTTAAGCACCTCAAGCTTTGTCTGCACAGCAGTTCCCAGATAAGATCTTCTCCATGAGAGAGTCTCTGCTTCTTCTTATGCCCTTAAGCCAGATATAGGCCAAGACAACTGCAGAGCTGTGATTTTGAAAAACCTCAATACTTTGGGCTTCAGGTTTGCAAAATCAAGACAAAATTATCTGAGCATGGGAGCATTCAGTCATTAGATCTGAAGCCTCAGAGAATGAGAGGCAAAGCTGGGTAAGCAGTGCCAGTTCGTGCTTGGCTGCAGCTTACAGTCAGTCTGTTTTAAAGGAGGCTCCATGAAAGAAGTATATATGTATATTAAAGGTTGATTTGCTCTTTCCTTCCAGGTTTCCCTGTACTTTCAAGCCTTTGAGCTGCAGAAAACCAGAGGCTGTCAGGGTGATTATGTTAAAGTTTATGATGGATCCAGCAAGTCTTCTGCAGTTCTAATGGACAAGACCTGTGGATCAAAGATACCAAATTACATAGTTGCTTCTAGTAATCTTATGCTTGTAGAATTCATCACAGATGGTGCTTATACAGCTTCTGGTTTCCAAGCCACCTTTGCTGCTGGTAAGTCTGAGGACAGGAAGAATGGCAAAGAAAAACAGTCTATGTCATATCAACCTTTCTTTTCACTCAGGAAAAATACTGAGGAACTGCTCTCCACGAGAGCCATCACTTCCTTCCTTGCTTTTGATTTAATGGATCAGTTATATACTGATACTATTTGCTCATTCATGCAGATGGGGCCACACTCAGGATTAAGTGGTGTTAGCCAGGTGATTGACTGTTCCCCTTGCCTCTCAAATATATTCCATTACAAAACACGTGCCAATATGGGCAATCAATTTAATGTTACTGCATCACTAGCACAATGGAAATAGAATAAATTGTAATGCAGCATTTAAATATAATGTTCCTCTGGAAAAGATGCAGGTTTTAATCACAGAGTTCAGAGACCTACAGTGAAGTCACCCATTCCCCCGGCAAGGAGAGAGGCAGCATTTCTATGGTCAGGATCCCTGGAATGTATCCAGCTAAAACATGTTTTCTTCAGTCCCATTTAATGAAGAACTAAGGCCAGAACTATACACTGAAGTTACCACAGGCTTGTGAGCTAGCATGGAATAAAGAAATGCCTGTTTGTAATTGTAGCCTCCTGCAACTGTAGAATGGTGCAGCTTGCATTAGTACGAAAGAAAGCTCAGCTATATCACACGACCTTGTATTTGCCATGGAATAAAAACAAGCACATAGAATTTGCATAAATCCACTGGAATGCAGTAACTTGACTGTATATCCAAACCAAACCAGCAGTTTTGCATTGTCTCTATGTGGTATCTATTTCTGTCCACTGTAGCTATGGAAGGAAAGAAGAATAAAAAAACTCATTCCACTTTGATGTGTCCACAAACATGAAACAATCTTAGTTGCCAGATAAAATGTGATTTAGCATGCATGTATTTTAGAGATGCTTCAGTTTGTTCAGAAAAGCTAAATATTCTCTCATTTTCCTTACAGTGGGTAATCAAAGAAGATCTAGCATCCACAACTGACTTAATGAAGAACCTATTCTGTGAATACTGAAATTATGTTTCCTACTTTGCTTCTATCCTGGCTTGGATCAGTATGAAATTTAATTCCATTAAGAATCAAAGTTTTCATCTTCTGGAGAAAGTTTATTCCCCAAGCCATATAAATGTACAAATTCTATACATCTTGTATACTTCTCCTTTTGTCTGCACAGTTAAGTTATTACCTCTTTCTATTTAACAATTGAATAAAAAGCTTAATTTAAAAAAAAAGTTTCTATTTCTGTTTTCCAGTAGTCACTTCAAGTCAAATGCACTATCCAACACACTACCAGCCCCCCTCATTCAGCCCTAGGGATGTCTCTTAAGTATACCACTGACATCATCATGGGTTCAGTTAGTTGGCTGAAGAGACCAGCTTCAAACTTTAAAAATTCATTTTGTGGTCTTCATGGTCTTCAGCATGAAAAGGTCTTCCACGCAGACTCTTATCCCAGCCTAACATTTAAGCTTCCAAAAATGACATCTCTCTTCGCAGTTCCATTACATCCTTAAAACGCCAGAAAGATGGACAAGACAAATCTATTCCCAGTAAAGGACTGGTGCTTCCCATTGCAGTTTTCCTTGTACAGTTTTGGTAGACAGAGAACACCTAAAGGTGCTTCTTTAGCCACAAGCCATTTTTGGTCCACAGAGATGATTAAGCTTATCAGAGGACGAGAGGTGGACCAGATAAGGCTCCCAGAGTTCACGCATACGTTCAGGGAAGAAATTTTTTGTCAGGGAAGAAGCTAAGCTCTCTCTTCTGATCTCATAAGGAGGACAGAGGGCTGCAAGTGTCAGGAATCCTGGACAGTCCTTTGCCTGCAATTACACTTTTGAAATTACGTTCTCTTGACCAAGACAAGCCTGTAACAGATCTGAGCAAAATAGGTTGCTATTTTAATCCACAGCATAGACAGATATTAATACTTGTATTTAATACTTGTATTTAATACTTGTATTTTTAAGGCTGAAAAAAGGAAATACCCTTAAAGTTTTTACCCTGTAACAGTAGAAACCTGGGAATTTTTCCTACAGAAATACATTTTCAGAAAAGAATTGTGGGAAATGAATTTGAATCTCAGAGTAAAATGTACATGGCAAATGAAAAATTATTGATTTTTTTTATTTTGTTAAAGGAGGCACCAAATATATTTAATCTGAAAGAATTTCCTCAAAGTCCTGTCTATATCTATACTGCATGATGAAGAATCAGTCAGTTCTTGATGGCAGAGAAATTTTAATTCCATTGAAAATTGGTTCCTTATCCACAGTTGCTGTGCAAATGCCTCTGAACAATTTGAGTCTGCTTTAGAAGAGACATTTCTTCTGTTCTTCAGACATTGCAGGATGGGTTCAGCTTCTAATATGTTGTTCTAGTTACTCTGAGCAATCAAGTGTTGCTATCAGCACATCATAAAAGGAGTAGCCCTTCTGAAATGTTGTTAAAAATGCAGTTCTAGAGAAAAAAATTGGCCAGTTGTGATTCTTGAGCTCCTACAAAACAAAATGGAGGAAATAATACCACAAAGCCAGTTGGTGAGGACCAATATCCTAGCACTTTTTTTTGAAGAGGGATTTCAGATGTGATTAAAATGTTCGACAGGGTGAAGAAAAGGAAGTTTCAGGTGAATTAGATACTTACCCTTGAAGGAGGAATAATGATCTCAGTAAGAATTCTGAAATATTGTTGGCAATGGCTGAGAAATTAATAAAGCTGTGGTCATCTCTGTATTGCTAAAATTGCTAAAATAATTAAGAGGTTTTCTTTTTAAGGGAAATTAAGCAATCTGCATCAAGAAAAAATTAAACCCAGTGGATGTTAAGAGCCTGAAGTTTCCCTTTCTAATTCTACTGAAAGAAAAAACACTTCCCTGCCAAGAGGTATTCAACAAAGTCCAGGCCTCTGTGGAGTTAGTTTGATCCTTACTGCACAGGACAGGGCTAAAGCTGGTCACAGAGACAGAACCAAGGTTCAGTCTGAGGATGTGACTACTCAATTGCCCCAGGACAACACTCCACAGATACCAGCAGCTCAGGATATTGTGGGCAGCCCAGGATATTGTGGGCAGCCCAGGACAGTCACTGATTCCATGTCACCTGGGTTCTTGGCCATCAGCTAGAGGGTATAGGAACAGCAGTACTAGGTAGCCTGTCTGTCTGTGTCTGAAAACCATTTCTAGCCTGAGGACTCCAACATCCTTCTGCTGTGACCATATAAGCCCCTCAGTTTAATTTCAACCTGAAGGTAGAAGCCACCCTGTTCAGCAGGATCATATCTCTACCTATTGCCCTATAGCACAAGTGTAACTTTTCTCTCATGCAGATGGGGGTTTCCCTCCAGCTCTAGAGACGTGCACTACACTACAGATAGGGCTGCAGGACTACCACTGAGTGTCAGCCTAGGGATGGCTTCAAGAGGCTACCCTTGAGCGGGTCCAGTTGTAGCTCCACTCATTGTCACACATACACACACAAACATATGGTCATATCTGCATCCTCTTCCTCATCCTAGAAGAAACATCAGATAATGCAGAAACATCATCTTCAGAGACACCATCTTGCTGAAGAAAACACCTGCTGAGCAAGGTAGTACTTCAGCAGGGAGAGCAGCATCAAAAATCACAGCTGGGATTGTCCCAGACCCATATGCATGTGCACAGTCTCCTCTGGGACAGTAATGGGCATCTCCCTCAGGCAATCCTAGCCTGAAGCTATAGTGGCAGGACAGAGCACCAGGCATATTGTGAGGCTCCTGTGCAGGTTTATATTTCTGGGGTGCTATCCAAGGGGTATGAAGCTGGGACTTCTGGATCAAATACACTTTAGGCATGTGGAAACCTTCACATATGCAAAAGCTCCCAGGGATGTAGCAGAACATCTTTTAGGACACCAGCTCTTCCCCCAGACTACATCCATAGCAATCCAGCCAAGCCAGTCCTTGTGGAATGAAATACAAAGATTGCCAGGAATGCTGTGGAGATGGAAATGTGCACGTGCAAGAAAGCACAGAAAGAAGCAGCCAAACAAGGGTTACAAGAACAGCCTGTATTGATAACAAGAGACATAATTCCCATGACTCTGCACCCAGGAGGATCATGGTGGAATGCAGTGTTTATGGCATGACCACAGGGTTCTATACTCCATTCAGGCAACAGCACAGATGATTTGTCAGTGGAAGATCCTACACTCGTGCCATCAAGTGTGCCATTCCTTCTTCCTGTTACCCCAGCAGGAATAAAGATGTATCCTTTCAGCAATGACAAACAGGTTTTTTGAACATGAAGGGGCTTTTCTGTAGGGAGGCAGAAGGCTGTAATTCCCATGCTTATTTCAGTGTGTGTCCCCCTCATGGTCTGAACTCTTCTTCATTAAGCTCTATGCAGACTTGGGGCAATTATACTGTCACCTTGAACCCCAGATGCCCCACTGGGGTCTGTGTGTTCAGAGTCCTGAGGTAGATGTGGGCTGCCTGGGCTGTGCACCATCCTGCCACACTGTCCATGCTGGCAGCAACAATGCAGAGAGAGTGGGACCCCTCACATACACCCTCTGCTCCTTTCTGCCCCGGAGTTCTTTGCCCACCCCACTGCCTGTCCTTGATCACATCCCATCCTCCCCGCTCCTCGAGCTCATCATGGGGTCTCCACAGAGAGAGGAGATGCATGCAGAGAGGTTCTGGCTCTCCTGTGCTACACACAGAAGGCACAGACACCTACATGGACTCAGGCAGGGGAGCTAAGGTGCCGAGACAGCAGTCACAGGTGGGGCTGGACAAGATGCAGGCTGGCCTGGGGACAAGGCCTGACAGGACCAGCACAGGTTCTCTTGAGCTCCCATGGCCGCTGGCTGCAGAGCTACATTCAGGTCCTGGACAGCAGGATACCCAAACTGAAGCATCAGCCTCAGCCAGATTCTCCCTGCCTCTCCCCAGCAACAAGCAGGGCAAGCCCAGCAGTGGAGGAATATCAGCAGCACTATTTGCAATTTTACTATATATAGATTATATTTTGACTTGATGTTATACCCCACTTTCTTCACAATCTTCCTATTGACTTTTTATCTCTTGTAGAAACTGATGCATACATTGGTGATACATCTGAAAGAATTTTAGCTTGGTCGAGCAGAAGTTCTTCTATTGACTTGCAGGCTTTCTGTGTTGAGAAGGAAAATTTCTTTACAAATATCTTTCACATTATTGTTTTATAAGAGGCATAACTTTTTTTTTGCTTTGTAGAAAGGTAGTAACTTTTAGGCTGTCTTTTTTGACTACTTTGAATGCTCAAAAGAAAAAAAGGTACCAGCAACCACAACCTTCCCTTTCTCATTTCAACTGTAGCTGATACAGTCATTCATAACAACTATTCTGTATCTCATTCTAGCTTCAAAGCAATTGGTATCATCCTTGAGTGGGAGAATCTAAGAAAATGGTTACAGCTAAAAGCACATGCAGAAGTTCATTGAACAGTAATGTCTCTCTATATCTTTAGTGAGTACCTGTCCTTTCAAATAAAGGGATGGACATAAGGGGGACAGACTTCGCAATGGAAATGAAAATAAAGTATTTTTATTTGTAATTAATAGGCAAAATGAATGTTGCCTAAACTTGCCTGTCTTACATCTCTTTCAGGAAAATGGTAAAGTTGGTATAGGAAGGAATACTCAGACACAGGCCCATGATCACCAGGAAAGTTCACAGTGACAAGTCCAAGGTCAAGCTGGGAAATTGGTCTGCAGGCCAGGATAAATAAGGTCCATGGCCAAGTAGAAGCACAGTTGTGACAGCACTGGAGAAGGATACACCTACCAGGTAGCTTAACCAGAGACTAAATGAGTCTCTGGTTATGAGGCTCCTGTGCCCATGTGTGGAAGGTTTGGAGGGAGTTCCCAGGTGAGGCTGATCAGGTTAATTAAGGTCTCAGTGCTCCCAGGGATTTGAGAGCAGGAAATAAATAGTATCGAGAAGGTTACTGTTTCTTAAGTAGCAGGTGATTTAGGACACACTTAGGATGGTTCTGCAGTGGATCCCAAGGTAACCAGGCAGCAAGTACTGCAGAGACTCATGAACATAGAACTGCTAAACTATCTACAAAATAAAAGCTGTTAAATCTCATGAGAATGCTTAGGTAGCTCTTGGATTAATCATAATGCTTTATATCTTTCTCAAACTTCAGTCTGAATCACAGGCCAGAGCCATGAGCCTTTGTTTTAGGCAGTAACTATATGATAGGAGTTATTTTTTATGTTAGCTGAGTGCTCTACCTGCATTTGGAGTTAATATGTGAACACCAACAGGCTATGCCTGTTTCCACAATGATCTTGCTGCTGCCTTGTGCTGCTGACATTTTGTGCCCCTGTAAATTTTGTTTTGATTCCTCTATGCTAAGCCACTTGTTGGCAGAATCTTTAGCTTTTCTTTCCAGTCCTCTGTCTTGGTACTTCCATTATATAACTGTCTTCTAGAACATCTTTCCTGATGCTTTTAATCTATAGCTATTACCTTTTGCATCATTGTGTTATAGGGTTGTAATGATTGAATCTAGTCACACTGCCTGTGCATAATCTATTTAAACTGAAAGAAATATAATCAGAGAGAACATTCATACAGGGAGATTACATGTTTATAATTATTTTCAGTTGACTTTCAAGCTTTCATTTGTTATATGTTTAATTGTTCTTGCATATGGCAATCTTGGAGAAGTTTTCTATTGAGTTTAGCCAAAAAGAGTTAAAAATCTTACGCGTTCTAGGAAGATGCATGATCATCTCCTTATGGAAATTCAGAAATAATTTTTCATCAGTAAGCAATACAAAACTGGCTGAAAGCCCGCAGCTTCTAAGTCTCAATGGTTCTTCATTGTCTTTGCCTTCGCTAGCTTATATAGATCCACTTGTCAACTGCATGTGAGTGTTGCTAATTCGATTTCCTAATATATTTAGATGTAATTTATCACATTTGCAAATTACCACTTAGAGTAAAATGGGATAAGGGTGTAGGCCTGTGGAGCAGAAGTATTAAGTTAGGGGTAGTTGATGGGCCTGGCTTATGTAAACGCACATTCAACATTACATTTTGACTGCAAACTCAAGGTTATATTATTTGAGAGGAGTGTAAGGATATAAAAGGAGAAGCTGTTACAGGAACATGCAAAGCTGTATGGGACCCCAAAACCTCATTCATGTAAGGTATTACAAGTTAGATTTGAGATATGTTATTAGAATCTGAAACATGACTCTTTCACAGGAAGTGTAATATTGAATGCCCCAAAGGGAGAAAGAATGGATCCTGTGGTTACTCCCAAGTGTAATTCTTTTAATCTATTGGAAGTAAAACAGTTGTTCACAGGGATGCAGCTGTGCAAGAGAGCATAAAATATACCTTTCTAAATGAAACCTAGTCTTAATTTTTACAGGCAGTAAAACCATTGATATATTTTAGAAACAAAATAAGTAGCCCATTAAATCTGATCTGGTTTTGATCCTGCCTCTTTCCACAGTACTTGGAAAGATATTTTGGCAGACACAACACTAGGGATGTTTGATACACTGGGATTCATATTCCTCTTTGGCTTGGTTCCAGAAGGCATCTTCATTATTTTTAGCCAAAATACATGCAATTTTAAACAGAAATTTGGAATTGTTTTTTGTATCTAAGCAATGCTAAGATCTCAGGTGAAGCACAATACTCCAGTTCAAAGTGTTTCACAGTCTAACTGCTAGTAATGTTTCTTTCTAGCATCTGCATGTGTTGGATATTTACATGATACACTAGACCTGGGAAATGAATACATAGCATTGTTTGGTTTGAGAATAAATATTTATAAAATATAGTGTAAACAAAAGAGGAGTAACGATCTATTTAAACTCACCCCCAAATCCTTCGGTATTGCCCCAAAAGCTTTTATGTTATATTCTGCATGTTAAAATGGAGTTACCAATAAATATCTTTGCAAAACTACATGTATTCTTAATTTGCTTTGGTCTGAAGTCTCTTATCTGATTCTGTTTCTACCATTTTCTGTTAGGATGGCCTACATTTAGATTTTGCAAAATATCTTACCCCAACTTACCTGTGAGAAAATCTATTCTAATACTTATAATAGCATTCAAGTGGTTTTCAAAACAGAAAAAAACATCCCCTTCCTGCAGGATATACAGTTCTTCTCCCCATAGAACAATATTTAGGACAAGTGTGGTAGTAATTTGTCTGAAACAACTGTGTAAAATGAGATAGACATGCAAGTTACAGCAATTTTGAAATCCTTAAATGCTCCCATTCAAATAAATTGTACAATGAAATGTAAATACTCAGTTCCATTAAAGTTTTTGTTACTCTTGTCAAACTAGTCAGTAATAACAAAATAAGAGGTTATTTCTGGTGGATAATTTAAACAGTACATTATTTTCTTTCTTCTGTTCACAAAATGTTCAGAAAATTCTCACATTACTTTATTGCCTGAATTTGTAAATTTATTTTGAAAATGTTTTCCCTGTGTGAATATTTCATGAACAATTTGTTGTGGATATTCATGATTCAAACTGTAGCATTAGTTCAGTACCTAAGCAGTACAATGCCTAAGTAGTATGGTTTCTGCAATGTATTTTCCACATATTTCCCATTTAGAATATAAACTGTGAATAATCACATTCAAACATATATTTTGGGGCTATCTAACCTTTCACATTTAAATTTATTTTTACACTTTAAAGTAAGCCTTTTTTTTCCTCTCTAATGAATATTAGTATATTTTTTTCCACTTCTTACCCAGCTCTAGTAATTACATTATGCTGACCTAGAGTTTCCCTTCAGTTTCAGTTGAGTACAGCCTTCTCCCTTCACTTCATCTTCCAGACTTTTGAAAAGTTCCTTTAGGCTAGGAGAGATTTGGCGCTGTACACTGCAGAGATCTTCATTCCAGTAAAATCTGTTTATCCCATGAAGTTTTTGGGACAGTTTGATGAAAGGTACCCTAAGAGGTAAGATTTTTCTCCATATACTTCCTAAAGACAACAGTCAACCTCTCTTTAACCTAGAAACCTGTTGTTTAAAATTAGGCATTTATGTATTTATATGGTGAAATAGAAATACTTTTTTGAAAGGCTATAAATTGTCTTCTGGTTCCTTTGAAGTCAGTATCAGTTACATACATATTTAACACTTTCTAAATTAAATGTCAATTCAAGTTGTGATATTTAGGCATTTAGTTCTAGGATGACTGTGTCATTTTTTTCCCCCCTACTTGTAAATTCTACATTTCCTTCATTACAAGGTGCTGTGAGGCTAAAGGAGCTTTCTTTTAAAGTGCTTTGAGATAATCAAGGCAAAGGTACCTACACAAGTGTAAAACAGATTCTGTAAATATTGGCCATGGGCAGATGTCGTTCTATGTACAATAATAAATTTTCAAAGGTTTTAACAAGCTTCGATGAAATCTATGGATTGCTGGTGTCCGGAAACACTTTTGTTCTTGATGGTTATGTGGGAAATACAGAAAATCAGGGAAGGTTTCCACTGAAGACGTGGCTTCCTAGGTGATTGAATTCCTCGTTTCTGTCCAGCACTGCTAATTTAATCTGTTTCTGTGCAATTCAGAAATCCACTTCCCTAGTGTGGGAATCTGACATTAGCAACGTCTTGAAGTTCTCATGGCCATGGTGAAAGAATTATTGCAGAAGGCAGAAGAAAGAATTTGAGATTACTGAGTAACTCAGGGCTTAGTCAATAAGTCATTTTCCATGAGAACGACTGAGCACAGATTGCCCAAAGAGGTTGTGGAGTCACTGTCCTTGAAGATATTTAAAAACAGTCTGGACACAGTCCTGTGCAACCAGGTGTAGGTGATCCTGCTTGAGCAGAGGGATTGGCCCTGGTGGTCCCCAGAGGTCCCTTTCTACCTCAACCATTCCGAGAAGAAGCAATGTGATGAAATAGGGACAGAATCTGGTGGTTGTGCTTCAAACAAAAGGTGTAGTAAAAGCACGATTGGGCGAAAGATTCTTAGAGTTAAGAATGCCTGAAGTAGTCTCAGGATACAGAATAGTGTCCAGGAACTGAAAATTTATTTTCTTCGTGTATAATATGATTTGGAGTTATTCATTATTTCACATTGGGGATTTTGGCAGCAAAAGCATCAGAGAGTAATATCAGCACTGTTATAGAGTAGATAAATTTATTTTTTTTTTTTATCCTTGATCAAAATCCCTTTTTCTTCTAATATTTCAGTTGAGATACTAACTGTCTCTTCTAGCCATTTGGGGGGATTATGTCGGTTTAATGAAAGAACTGTTTATGAATCTCACATATATACAGCAGAGCTGGGCATGTTGCCAAGCTTTTTTTGTTCTCTATACAAATGCATAATTCCACTTCTTTTAGTTGGTTTATTAATTATTCCATGCTGCAGGAGCAATTTCTCTCTGTGATATAGTCTGTAAGTTCAGAAGTTGTGTATTCTTATCCTAGACATGTAGGAACACACCAGTTTTTGCTGATGAGATCCACCTTGTCTTTTTCCAGAGACAGAACCCATCTTACTACAAAGATTCTCCAATATCTGAAAAGGATAAGTTCTGTGAGGAAGAGCAGCCATCTTAAATTCCACTTGAGCAAAACTGAAGTGGCACTATCCAACATATCCATTTTCTCCAGGAAACATTTTCTTTTCCACATAGTCTAAAAGTCTAACCTCTGAGAATTTTCTCACACAACAGTCAATTTTAAAGGACAGAATATTGGCATAATGATTGAATCACAAAATTCACCATAGGTCTGCCATCTGTACCCAGAAGAGGAACTATGGAAGCCACAACAGTAAATTATGCTCTCATAAACAGAGGGAGTTTTTTGTGAGGATGTCCATAACCTTTTTACAAAACCATTTAGTTATATTTACAGAATGATATGGCAGAATGTTTTACTGCCATTTTTGATGGTTAGAATTTTCATTATGAGCCATTCTGTGGCCACACACAGCTTCTCCTCAGATGTTTGTCAAAATCCCTGATTAAATCTCGTGCTCTTTATAAGAGTACTGTAAGGAAGTTAAAACAATAGTCTACAAAGAACTGACATCCAAGAACTGATTCTCTTGGTTCTAGAGATAAATCCATAAGGTTCACTATATCTGTGACTTGGTTATTCAGCACTGGATACCTCTTTTTATCATAGTTTATGCAACATTGTTCCCAAGTTAATGTTCTCCAGCACTGGCTCAAATCCGATTTTGTGCTCCACAGTTCAATACACTTCACTGCTTTTAAGGATTAATTCCACAAGGTAGTAGCTTTCAATATTTGAGGGGTTTTTGGTTGTTGTCGCACTATTGTGATTTCCTTTTTTGCAATTTCACTTCATTTTTATACATAACAGACTTCTCCTGCCTTTTTGTTTCTCTATGTGTAAACCCAAAAAAGTCAGAAATGAGACCTCCAGCCGTTTCCCAGGTCTCTTTAAACAGAGCAATCTCATCCAAATACTGATGTCACTGGGCAGTCTAGTTTGCTGTTTGGGAGAGCAATTCTTACATTTCTTCAGGGAATGAGAAAATATTCCAGACATTTTCATCATGCTCTATGTGAGAGACAAACTGAGGTCAGAGAGACTGAAGCTGGCAGCTGTATTAGCATGTGTCACATTGGTGGTTGTACTATGGGAACTGGTCAACATCATCTGGTGAATAAAGACAAGATACCAAATAAGTCAAATTTACAAAAGAATGCAACTGAAAGATAAAGAGGTATTTAATTAGTTATGTTTAACCTCTTAACTCTGCCATTTCTTTTTTCAGTCCAGTATATTCTGAATAAAGCTTTGCAGTTTTTAATCAATCGATTTTTTATATTGTTTTTGTTTTGAGAGTGTTTCCGTTGACTGAACAGATTATTAAATCAAGAAAATAATTATTGAGATTACAAGAAACAATGCAAAAACTGCAAGTATCAGAAGCAATACAAACAGTGAAAGGTGGAAGAAGAAACCTAAAAGAAAAGCGAAAATTAAAATAACAAGATACGTGTTACTTACCTCTTTGGATCTATATTGTATAACTGATTGTTCTTATGGGTTTTTTTGTAAAATACCAGCCCATCTGAGAGAATTATATCTTCTCTTTTAGTGACTGATGTAATATAAACAAGTCAGTCCACAAAAATCAGTATTTTAAAAACTTAAAGACAGCTCTTGTTTCCACAATTTACATCTTAAAATCTCAACATTTTAACTAAAATCCATGTAGGTTATTTTGCAGTGTTTTACTGACAGTAACTCTTTTTCAAATATCAGCTTATATGGTTATTGATACTTGGCATGATGTTTAGAGAATTCATGTGAATTTTGCTTTTTCATAGTAGAAAATTATAGAACATCAGCTGTTGGAAATTGAAA